CAGAGCCTCACCTCCTCAGGAGCCCTTATCACTGTGCTTCCATTGTGACTCACGGTTGATTAAGGAGGGGGAGGGGAGAAGACAGATGGGCAGATTTCTGCGCTCAAAGTTTTTCAATTTCCCCTATCACTCATTCAATTAAGAAACAACCAGGGAGGGCAGATTCATTCTGTGTCGGTGTGGTACAGAGAATTCTAAGACAGCCACCCAAATTCCCACCCCCTGGTATATACCCCCTGTATAATGCCCTCCCTTTCAGCGTGGGCAGCCTATGAATATGATGGAGTCATGCCTTTGATTAGTTTGTTAAATGACAAAGGTGAAGGAATTTTGCACATGTAATTAAGATCCCAAAATAGTTGATTATGGATTAATCAAATAGGAGATTATTCTGGTGTGTGCCTGGCCTCACCTGCTGGGCCCTTAAAAGGGGCCAGGCCCTTCCCGAAATAAGATATTTCAAGTGTGAGACGAGTTCTCCAACTGGCCTTGAAGAAGTAAGCTGCCATGTTGTAGGAGGATGGGGTTATCTGGCAAGCACCCGAAGGTGGCCCCAAGGAACTGAGAGTGGTCCTGTCCAACAGTCAGCAAGACACAAGACCTGAGTCACACAGCCACAAGGAAATGAATTCTGACAACAACCGTGAGATGGAAGAAGACAGGAGCCTCGGATGAGGTCAACCCCCGGCCACCTCTCTGATTTCAGCCTAGTGGCAGCCGAAGCTGAGAAGTCAGCTAACTCATGCCCAGACTTGACCACAGAAACTGTAAGACAATAAATGTGTGTTGTTTTAAGTCACTGAGTTTCTGCAATTTGTTAAATAGCAAAATAAAATTAATACAATAACCATCCCTTACTCAAAAAAAGGGGAGAATCCTGAGTAGTCTGGCATTCGAGTCCTCCATACAGTCCCTATTTGCCTTTCAAGACTCATTTCCTCATACATTTATTTTCTCCTCATCTTCCCACCCAGAGAGTCCTCTTTCACACTCACAAGACAAGACATGCTTGTGGACTACTCACCAAACCCAAACACCAAATAACACACCTCAACCGTCTTTCCTCCTCATCTTACTTTGGCATAGATGGGATAAAATGCCCCTTCAGCCTGAAATGTCCTTCCTGCATTATCAACACTCATCCCATTTTCTCTTTGCTGAAATCCTTCTTTTCTATTAAGAATAATCTCAAACATACCTCCATTAAGAATTCTACCAGTGGAAACTAACTAGTGCTACCTAAATTCTGTGTTCCCATAGCACTTTTATTCTTCTATTATAACAGTTACTACATTCTGCTTTAGAATACAGCTCATTGTGCATGTACATTACATGTTGATAATGTCTGAAAGTAAGCTACTTTGGACAAAGATTATATAATTTCAGGGGCCGGTCTCGTGGCGTAGCAGTTCAGTGCGTGTGCTCCGCTGCTGGCGGCCCAGGTTCGGATCCCGGGCGCGCACTGAAGCACTGCTTGTCAGGCCATGCTTTGGTGGTGTCCCACATAAAGTGGAGGAAGACAGGCACAGATGTTAGCCCAGGGCCAGTCTTCCTCAGCAAAAAGAGGAGGATTGGCATGGATGTTAGCTCAGGGCTGATCTTCCTCACAAAAAAAAAAAAGGATTATACCATTTCAATCTCAGAGCCTTGCACATGGCATACATTCAATAATGTTTGTTTGTTGCATGACTAAATGAACAAATAAAGGAAAGAACAATCCAAGGGAACTTTGACAGGCAAGCTCTGTCATTCCACATCTATTTCAAAATGAGAGGCTAGCACAGACCACAGGAGCGAGGGAGGAAAGCACTGAGGGTTGACAAGAATAAGGGTTGATATGATACACCCACACTGTCACCCAGCATCAGGCAGTTACTTTTAAAAATGCAAAAGAAATAAAACATCTTTTTTCTGCTTGATGCTACAAACCAGTAAAAACTCTAGTACAAAAACATTTCTACCTGTAACATATTTTCCCTTGTTTCTGTCGTTATCTGAACTTCGCTTTCCCTTCTAAGCCTCCTCCCTTAATTCATACTTACAGTGCCACACAGCACTCAAAACCATATGGCTACACCACAGCTCCCTCCATAAAAGCAGCATATACCACCCTCTTGCTTTCTCAGAAGTACCACGTTCATAAAACCAGACACCATATTTATTAACATTCGCTGAAGCCACTTGTCACAATTACAAATAAATCCCTAGGAATGAAGGAAGTACCATCCTTGGCCCCTCATACTCTACTTGATGGATTCCCATGGGGCTTAGTTCACAGACACATTAAACGGCCTGGGACGCGGGGGACAATGTTTTAGAAAAACAGCAAGACTCTGCCACTGTTTTGTTGTAGTTTATTGCTTTGTATTTTGCCACAACATTCTGAAATGTTCACGTTTCAGAAGGGCAAGAAATTTATCAGTGGTTTTTTTAAAAGGGTTAAAAAATTACTGCCTTACACAGAGAAACAGGGTCCTCTTCAGGCCCATACTCTTGCTTAACATAAGAAAATAAAAAGAGTAGTGTTATATCGGCAGTACTAAAAAACGAGAGCTAAAACAAGAGGAAACAGAAAAATTATAAAAATCCGGCACAGGGCCGGCCCCGTGGCTTAGCGGTTAAGTGCGCGCGCTCCGCTGCTGGCGGCGCGGGTTCGGATCCCGGGCGCGCACCAACGCACCGCTTCTCCGGCCATGCTGAGGCCACGTCCCACATACAGCAACTAGAAGGATGTACATCTATGACATACAACTATCTACTTTGGGGCTCTGAAGGAAAAATAAATAAATAAATTAAATTAAAAAAAAAAATCCGGCACAAAAACTATAAAGATAAAGCAATTTGGAGCCATTTAATATAGGAGTCACAGCAGTATCAAGCTTAATAGGCACTCAAGACATCTCCGTATCAGAGCACAACTGGTATTCAAACTGTCCCTCCTTAGATGGCCCCCTAAGTGCCCTCTTACTCCTTAAGTGAGGTACTTAAGTATCAGATATTTATATTTTGTCTCATACTATGTCTATTTTTTAACTTGGTCTCATCCCCACCATCAAATTTAAATCTCTCTGAAAGCAAACGTCATGTCCTCCTTGTTTTTAGTATCCTAGGAAACCGTGACCAGAATAAGTGATCAAAAACTATTATTTAAATGAATGTGCAATCTGTTACTGAAGATAAAACACTGGATATAAATATATAATGTAATACATAAGATTAGTAATTACTTGCACATTGATTGCCATGAAAAGAGGAAGAAATATTTTAAACTTGTTAGAATACATTATTTTGCTTACAAATGAATAAGTAGAATATATTTTCCCTTGGGTTAAACGGGATTTTTGTGAACTTTTCTGAATTTTCATTACACTCGAGAGTATACAATCTTTCATCTTGAAATTTTTGTTTTCACGTCTAAAAAAAATGTAAAAAATTGTAGAATGAAAATCTCTACAAACTTTACTAATACTCATTAAATGTTAACATTATGCCACTTTGTTCTCTCTCTCTAGGTGTGCACAAGCAAACGCGCGCACGGAGTCTCTCTCTCTCCCCGTCTCCGTCTCCCTCTCTCTGCCTCTCTCTCTCCGTCTCTCTCTCTCCCTCCCTTTCCCTCTCTCAGCTGTCAGGTTTCACTGAGCCATTTAAAAATGAGTTATAGACATCATGACACTTGATCCCTAAATATTTTATTCCAGCACACATCTCTTATAAACGAAGAAATTCTCTTAACTAAGCATAATACCGTTATTACACCTAAGGGGAAAAAACAATTTCACAACAATAGCTATCATCCAAAGATAAACTGTTTTCCCTTACTTCACTACATAAAAATAATTTCCAAATTGTTGTCAAGAAGGAAAAAAATACTATAAATATAAATATAGATATAATAAAAAACAACAAAAATGTTTAGGATTTTTTTAAAGGGTGTTTAATGTAAAGCAGTACGTTTTATAAAATATACTAAAATGATTTCTTAAATTTCAAATGAAAATATATTATTTATGTTTTAAAACTAGTCCTTTTTTCCCCATAATGCTATAACTAAACTTAATTTTATGGACATTATAAATATCATTCTCAATCCTGTCAATTTTTATCAATCTTTCAAGAGATTTCCTCTCCACATCCACTGTAAATGTAGCCCTAACTCTCCACATAAGGATATCTTTGCTCCAAAATGTACAGTAATGATACTTTCAACATTTTTTAACAAGATTTTTTCATGGTCAAAGATATTAAAATATCCTTACTTTGTTAATATTTGATTTTTTAGTATATTGCTTCTCCATATGGACTGAAAAGGAAAACCCAGTTTGCATGCAAAATGAGATGAAATTATTGTCTCTAAATTGCTTGACAGATGACTTAACCACGAGATTAGCTGATTTATAGCTTGTTTACTAATCTAGGAATCAAAGGCCAAAAAAATTATTGCAACAATAACGACAATGAGCTTTGAACAGTATTAACTGGGATGGGAAAATGTAATCAAAAAGAAGAAAAGCAACAGTGATATAACACATTTCATTACTATAGTAAGGTCTCAACTATTGGGTATCAAAATGCTTGAGAATAACCAATTCAAATGCCATGTTTTCATACACTTATTTCTGGACGGATTCACCAAAGCCCTGAGGGGGAGGATAAATTTGACTTTTTTTCTTTTTCATTCATTTCCAGAATACAGTAAAATAATTTTCTCTCCCTCCTTTCTCAATTAGTGGCTTTATCTTCTTGCAAATTTCATAAAATTAACTTAATTAAATGCCATTTAAGGAGTTATTAGACTCTTACTTGAAATATGCTCCTTTCTGATAAAGAGTTATGCTTGTGAGAGCTCATTAACACCATCTGACAAAAAATTCCAACATTAAGATCTTAAAAAGTACATAACTAGTATATTTTTACAATGAATAAGCTGTACTGTATATTAAAAGTTTGAATCTATTCAACAAACATCATCAAGTGATGATAGAGATGAAGGTTTTACTTACGTTTGCAATAGCTATAGCATTTTTATCGTAGTATTTCTTCTTTTCGTATTTGTCTCTGATGAAAAATTCCACTGCTCTGAAAACAGATAACTTAAGGAAAAGCATGAGTTCCATGACACGTACCCTCCTCCCCTGTATTCATCTTCTCCACAGAGCTGAGATTCCAAACTCCATCCTCCTACTGCTCAGTCTGTGCTTTCTGCAACTAAATTCTGTAACCTACTTTTCTTTCTGCCAAAAGAAAGTCTTTATCATTCAGGAAATTTTCCCCATTCAACAAAATCACTCAACCCAATTCTAGAAAGAAAAGTAAGCACACTTCTCAATTCCACCACACTCCTCAGCCCTCCAACCCCCCCACCAAACTCTAAATTCAATTAAGGTTCATTTTGGATTTTCAATATAAGTAAAGCAACTAATATCCACGCAGTCCCCACCCAGTAACATGTATATTATCATTTCCACATCAGTGATGAACAATCAGCCACTTGGAAAGATGAAACGGTTGTGATTTCAATACTTATGTTCTTTCCCACCATGCATGGCTGCCTCTGGTTGTACCGTGAGGATTCCCTGTGTATTAGAAGAATGGTGACCAATTTTTTTCTTGCAAAGCTGAGGAATGGAGAAGCCAAGACACTAAAACCAAGGTTAGTGCCGTTTAATTTTTTGAAGTTGGCTAGACTAGCCTCATCTGTTGATAGAGTAAGCCACTTCTAGTGGAATGTGAGAATTTTGAGTTATCTGATATAGATGACTTCTCTTGCCACTCAATATCTGCTTTATCATATTCCACTAAAATGGGAATTCTTCCATCAGGGATTCTGAACCTTTTGAGTACCATCAACTCCTCTGGTAGTCAGGTAAGGCCTGTGGACTCCTTTCTGGAATAGTGCTTTTTAAAGCATAAAATAAAATACACAGAATTACAAAGGAAATGAATTACAATGAAATACAATGTCTCTGTAAATCTCAAGTTAAAACATTCTTCTGTTCAAAAGAAATATTACCTGAAGCAGTAAAACAATACACTTTCAGTCAACAACTCATTTATTAAAAGTTAACAAGAGCCTTTTAAATTGACAGTTGAGGCAACAGGTAACAGAAAGAGCTGGCAGACCACTACACCACAGATATTAAAGAGTTGGGGCATTATGAAAGCACGCAGGGGGGCAAGGGAAGGCAAGTAAGAAAGGAAATCTAAGCATTCAGTTTATTAAGTAAGGTGACTGACTGAAGGCCATTTTTAAAGACACTCTTCCACAAGCTGAGTATGTAAAAGGCACTTTAGGTTACCACTTTTTCTCCTCTTAACAACCTATAACGTAGGTGCCGTTTCACAACTAAAACTGGAGCACAGAAAGTTTAAGTTCTCAGATTCTACAATACAGGGCAGAGTTGTGATTCAAAGCCAGTAATGTCTGACACCTGCCTTTTCTTTTTTCTTTTTCCTTTTTTTTTTGGAAGATTGGTCCTGAGCTAACATCTGTGCCCACCTTCCTCTATTTTTTTGTATGCAGGGCACCACCACAGCACGGCTTGATGAGCAGTGCGTAGGTCCGCGCCCAGGATCCAAACCTGCAAACCCGTGCTGCCAGAGCAGAGCACACGAACTTAGCCACTATGCCACCAGGCCAGCCCCATGACATCTGCCTTTTCAGAATGTTACTGGTCATCACAAGTTCATTTGTGATTCAGTTAATTTCTGCTAAAGATAATAAATGCTTCAAAATTTAGGGAAGAATGTCAAATTTGGAGGGCGCCTTTGTTTTCAAGGTAGCCTTAGAGACCCTTTCAAGTGAAAGGCCCTGGAGCTGCCATAAGGCTGCTTATTTAGGTATGTAAATATTTAGATACTTATGTGCTCATTTAGGTATTCTGGCAGCCAATTCAATACCAAACAACTACCACAAACATGCTAAGATTTTCATAAAATGCAAGAACGTTATTTTATTTAAAATATTTCACGTGTAAATCAGCTAAATGTTAAATTTGCTCATAATTGTAAATCCAAATTCAATATTATATTTTTCTAATAGGAAAAAATAAAACAAAAAAGCTGGCCCTTTGGATGAGGTGTATGTACTGAGCAATTTTCATTATAGAGACAACTATATACCTCCATCAAAGGGAAAAGAAAAAAGAATTTACTTAGACTGATGTCACTTTCACTCCAGATAATATAAAATATGTTTACTGTTTTTAAAAATTATTTAAAAATATTACATAACATAATATGTATACAGTTTTTTTAACTGAAGAAAATTTTAGAAATCTAAAGTCTTAGAGAATAATTTTTATGTTTAAATATCTCGGAGGAGAATAACACTAATGTTTTTCCTTCTTAAAGACAGAAACAACAGTTTATTTTGCATATTGTGTAAAGTGTACTACATATTAAAGCTTGAAAAGATTTCACTACTCTCATTTATGAAATGTTTATAACAAAGAAAGGTCACTGTTTATGACCAAAAAATTACTCCTAGAAAACTCAGTAAGGTTAGAAATACAGTACATAAAATAATTTAACCACCAACAGTAAAACTAAAATATTAAACCTATGATGGGTTTATAAATACTGAATTTGAAAAAAGCAGACATTTTAAGTATACAATCTTTTGGAGTGAAAAACAATACTAACATCTGATGAAATGATATGTTGCTGTGAATTTTCAGAAATAACAGGTATCAGTGAAATCTTAATTTATACTTAATGTACTTTATATAAATAATTCAAATCGTTTCTGCATATGATAAGAAACCCTCTCAGAAATTATCTAAGAAGTAAGCAATTAAAAAAAAATTATATGAGACAAAAGTTGATCTGTTTTTCAAGGATATAAAAATAAAACAAAATAAAATAAAGCGTTAGGGCAGGAGAACTTCCTTGCTAATTATTAAGCTAAAACACTATCTTTTAAAAAGCAACCAAAGCACAATAGAAAGTGAATTTCTAAAATTCCAAGGAGTCACTCGAGGAAGGACTGTGATTTAGGGAACATACTATGCCGTTGGTTGCTCTCAGTTCCTACATGCCTCTTAGAGTAAGAACGATCACAAGGTCCTTATGTATTTTTGTACAAGGTCACAGTTCTTCATTGTTAATTCACCTAAAGAAATAATGATTTATTCCAGGGTCAGCATACTTTTTCTTAAAGGGCCAGAGAGTAAATATTTTAGGCTCTGCAGGACAGTTGGTCTATGTTACAACTACTCAACCCTGTCTTTGTAGCTCCAAAGCAGCCAGATAAAATTCATAAATGAATGAGCATGGCTGTGGTCTAATAAAACTCTATTTACCAAAAGAGGAGCTGGCTCATGGGTCTGAAGTTACCTATTCCTGAATTCTATTCCAACACTAGAGGGCAAAGAATAGCCCAGTTGCATTTATAGAGGGACTCTATGTCTGCCAACTGTCATTACAGATAATTTAAGGCATTTTCAAGGGAAATTCTGACACTAATTTTCTGTTACATGCTGACTGTAGTACCAATTCTGAAAGAAGATGGTACACTCACTTATTTTTTCGGTGAGGAAGATTGGCCCCAAGCCAACATCTGTGCCCATCTTCCTCTACCTTGTATATGGGACGCCTCCAAAGCATGGCTCGACGAGCAGTGCGTAGGTCCGTGCCCAGGATCCGAACCCACAAACCCCAGGCCACCAAACCAGAGTGCGCAAACCCAACCACCACACCACCAGGCTGGCCCCTAGCTTTTATTTTTATATAACTTTGTCTTAGTTTCCACACCTGTAGAATGGAGATGACACTAAGACTTATCTCTTAAGTCTTAGTTTAAAAAGCTGGTGTGTAAACAACTAAGAACAGTGCCTGGCACATAATGAGTGCTATTTAATTTTTAGCTCTTATAACTAATAAATGTATTTTGATAGGCAAATCTTTTAAAACAGAGGGTCCATTGTCCAAGGAGGAAATGGACAACAGCTACTGTGTGAAGGGCTAAGATGCCTCATACATCATCAAGTTTAAATAGACGAGTAAATGTGAAATAACAAAAGAATCAACGAATTTGCAGACCAAGAAATATTTATCTTCATTTTCCATTCTCCAGGTGTCATTTGAGACATAAGGACTTAGTTATACTGACAGAGACCAATAACACAACCAAAAAAAACCTAGAAAGAGAACAATAATATCTTCAGGGAATCAATGTAAGGAATATATTAATCACAACTCAATTCAAGTTTAAGTGGTTGATTTGGGATTTAATAAACAAACAACAACAAAATTCCCCAGAATCTTCCCCATGCCTATAGTTTCAAATCATTCAGTACAGTACCCTTAATTGTCCCCATCTTCAAAACTAACAAATGGTACTATACAACACCAGAAAAACTTTAACATTACTATGTGTTTTATCTTTTAACATGTATTTTAAGATTTTTTTCCTTTCTTTAAAGATACCATTTAAAAGACAATTAAATTAATATCCTCTCCCAAGAGCAAAATCTTCCAGTTCCACACAAACACCACTGGCAGCAGTAAACTTCCAAAAGCTGAAAGAACTGCTGAGTAGCTTTGGTGCAAAAGAGATCTCACGGAACTGAAGGACAGTCACGCACCACATGACGACATTCCAGTCAATGACAGACCTCATATACGATGGAGCGACGCATGACCGTAAAGTTTTTAGTGAGATGAAATATCCTAATAATGAAAAGCTTAATGTACAGCTTTATCATTTGTCATGCACTAGAACATGCAGCCTATAATTAACCGCATCCCACACGAGAAATTACACTTTCACAGCAGCTTTTGCATAAACACTTTAAATTGTAACGCTTTTAAAAAGTGACAAATCTTGTTGAGAATGCAGTGAGGTCCCATATTATGTGAGTTTTACTCGGTTTGGTTCCACTTGCCTCTAGGGATGAGACAACTATATATAAATCGATAAAAGTGCAGAGATGTTAGGCTTTTCAAAGAGCATACTGAGCTTTAGAATGATTCACCAAAGAAAGAAAGAGAAAGGGAACTGGTTTTCTTACTAGTCTCCCTAATAAAACACCCAAATCACAGTGTTTAATAATTAAAGGAAGGAATTAAAGTGATGTTGCCGTAATAACTATGGTAAAAAAAAAAATTTTAAGGCTACAGAATTACATTAGATATAGGGGCTGGTCTCATGGTCCAAGAGATGTCATCCTATACTCTTATCACTAGTAACCATCTATCTCAAATTTGTTTAGACAAAATCCCTCTTAGAGTAGTTTCTGACAACCACTAAATTATCTTTTTGTGAACAGTGAGAGGTCAGCACCTCATATAAATATGACCATGACTTGTAAATGCTTTAGAAGAAGTAACATTTAGCTTGAAAAATAAAATAAGCACGCTTGACTAACAACAGCAAATATACATAATCCAAAAGCCTGAAGTGAATCACACCAGGGACTCAAAAGTTGAAATCTTTACATAGACCTTATGGCCTAGTTGCAGAGAGTCCCAAAGTATAAGCTTATCTATTTTCAAAGGTCATCAAGACTCAAAGGTGGCAACACTGATCTTACTCAGACCATCACCATTAATAACATCTGAGCGCCCTTACACAGGAGGGAAAGTCTGGAGCCACTGGGAAGTCCCTTAACAGCTCTTTGAGCATCTCACCCTCTCCCCTGCCAAAAATGAAAATATTATGCTCTATCTCATTGAGTTATTTTGAGAATTAAAAAAGATAATGTACATAAAATACGAAGCTCAGTGCTTGGCACACAGCAAACCCTTACTGAGCAGTAAGGCTACTGCAGCCACTGCTTCCAACATGGTATCGTCACTTTGTCAAAGGTCAAGCACTGACTGACACCAGACACCAATCAATTTACTAAAAAAAATCTCATCTCTCCTGAAATTTTTAGATAAGGACCAAATATTCAAAAATATATCAGCAAAAATACCAAAACTAATAACTATCTCATAATCCTTTACTTCTATAATGTTCAAAATAAAACTGATGGTAATTACTTAAGAAACAGTATTCCTACCAACATATACAAAACGGTGCATAGGGAGAGCTCAATATAAGAATACCAAGAAGCTACATATTGTCCTTCCCCAAATATCTTCAAGGTTTATTCAAAAACAACATGGAATCATGGTGATGGAGTAAATAACTTGGAAGCCACTTTCATCCACAAGGTACCACATAACGGATACTACCAAAAATTTCAAGAACCTCAAGTAATTTATCCAGTAATATTCAAGAGAAGTCCAAAAGTCCCAACTCAAACCAACCTCCCCCTCCCCCAACATACACACAAACTTCCAGAAAAGGGATTCTTCAATTTGAGGGATAATATATGTCAGCTCAGGCTTGGGGGTGACGGGCAGAAAGAAGAGGAATAAATCACTACAACTAGCAAGCAGCTGGTAACAACCACCTAGCACATTTATTTGCTCTGCTGTATTTCCTTCTACCATTCTCTGTTCCCCAGGATTCTGCCCTAGGCCTTCATGTTTCAGAGAAGGAAAACAGCATTCCCAATATTCTCAATAAAATCCACCAAAAGAACAAAGGACCACTGCCCTAGATAAACAAAACTTTGCCCATCACTCTTCTATTGCCTACATGCTAGGTGACTCCAATCTATACTGCATTTCCTGCTTCCTTCTAGCATCCAGACTCATGTTTCCAGCTGCCACATGGGTTTCTCCAGGATTATGTCCAACTCCACAATCTGCCCAAAGTAACGAAGCATGGCTCATTATCTTTCATTTCCAACCCTTAAACCTTCATCTGGTACTGAACTCCTTCTCTTAGTGAATAAGCTTTACCTCACCCACAGAACCTCACCTAAGCTAGAATATTTGGGGTCATCTCAGTGTCTTCCTCAGAGACAAAGCCAATCGGAACCTAATCCAACCGCTCCTGCTTTCCCAGTCCTTCCTGCCCATTGTCAGTGCCACGATCTGGTTTACATCTCCATCACTGCTCAGTTCAGGGCTGTACTAGTATTCTACACGGTCTCTCTCACTCCAGGAGCTTCTCCAACGAATCTTCCTTGTGATAGAAGTTAATGTTTCTACTAAGGTTTCTCTTGCTTCAAAAGCCTTCATAGCTTTTCAACTCCATCAACCCTTTGGACCAATGAAATGAGGTCCAAACTGCTCTATATACTATTGAAAACTCTTCACAATCTGGAAAACAAGCTTCTTCTGCCACTTGCCCCACCAAACTTAAATCTTGTCACATTAAAACCTTAAAATGTCATGTTTCCTCACACAGTATTTTATGGCTGAAATGTTCCTCCCACTCTTACCCTAGGATCTTGCTGTAATACAAATCGCCTTGGATATCAGACTGCTAAATTTGTGGGAAGGAGGTGGGAGGAGCAAAAACACAAAAGGCCACATACAAATACTAACTTTCTGAATATAATTTAAAAGGTTTCTATACAAATACGAAAACATAGATAATAGCCTGTATCCCTGTGTGAGAAAAGATAACATTTTTTTCACTGACCACACAAACTGTTTTAGTATACAAATGAGTAAGATATAACTGATCTTTAAGAAACTACATTTTATTGTCAAAACCACAAATGTCACCTTTGGATAGAATCACAATTACATACAATCAATTAGATAATCTTATTATAGAGCACCACAATTCTGAATTCTTAATTCAGAATTCTCACCACAATTCTCAAGCTTCAATATTAGTTTGAGAAATCCTATAGAATCAAATGATTTTATATTTAACAAACGTGCAAAACATCTTGACTAAAATGCCTGTGAGAAAATATTCTATTCATTCTATTCATTAGATTTGTAAAGCAAACACAGTTGTGCAACTTATGACAAAGATAAAATGTCAGTAACAAATATTAGCATAAATTACTTTTAACTTCCACTTACACTAAATATGTAATTTGCCTTTTAAATGCATACATGCCAAATTGCTTCACATAAATATAATTGCCACATAAAAGCGATCAAAGAAAATCCCTTTGGAAATGATTTTTAAAAATATCTCAAGATGCAGAGCCGGCCCAGTGGTGTAGCGGTTAAGTTCACACGCTCCACTTCGGCAGCCCAGGGTTCACGGGTTCGGATGCCAGGCACGCACCGACGCACTGCTTACCAAGCCATGCTGTGGTGGCATCCCATATAAAGTAGAGGAAGATGGGCACGGATGTTAGCCTAGGGTCAATCTTCCTCAGCAAAAAAAGAGGAGGATTGGCAACAGATGTTAGCTCAGAGCTAATCTTCCTGAAAAAAAAAAATACTCAAGATGCTCACAAACCAAATCTCTAATAATAGTCTAAAATAATAAACAACACATATGCTCCAATCAAGAACTGGAGATCAATCAAGAAGAATCAGTCACAATATTTTACTCTTAGTAAAAATTACATAAAAATACTATGTAGATCATGTATTACCAGATTCCTATTAAAAACCTACTAGATACAAGGCATGGCTCAGGGCAAATCAATTTCTACCCTTAATGAACAATAGTTTGATAAAGGTCACATCTTCTTAAATACAAACAGTTAAAATATGTACTGTAAAAACAAGTTAATTCTTTTAAAACTCACAATAAAGAAAGTTTAAAGGATACTGATCTGTCTGTGGTCTTCGAAAGTTCTCTGGAAGATTGGCTTCATACAGTAGTCTTGCTTTTGTATTTCCCATATCTTGCATACACTAGAAGAAAAAAAAAATCAAGTATTTTCATTACTCATATAAACATCAAAAAGTAATTCCTATACACACATACATATACATAGATATACACATATATAAAAACAAATAACAGGTAATATTTATTATTTCCAATATTCTTCTCCTTAGAAAAATAATTTAAATCACAACTAAGAAATTAATTACTCAAGTTCAAAATAGAAGCATATTTGTAATCCTTCACATTTTTTCAACATATGTAGATCCAGTTTTCTCAAGTCTCTTTCTGTGAAAACATTACCTTCTTTATTTATACTCACTACTTCCTAAAAGTGCATTCCCTGGTAGTTCGTGGGCAGTTTTATGACTGTTTTAAACATACCACTTGACAAAGCTGCCATTTCCAAGGCCAACGACTCAAGATCAGAGTTTCCTTGTTTTGAGCTTCAAAACACTCTGGGGTTTTCATGATTTACAATCAAGATCACAATGGAGGGGCCAGCCCGGTGGTGCAAGCAGTTAGGTGCACGCGCTCTGGTGCGGCGGCCCGGGGTTCGCCGGTTCGGATCCCAGGCGCGCACCGATGCACCGCTTGTTAGGCCGTGCTGTGGCGGCGTCCCATATAAAGTGGAGGAAGATGGGCACGAATGTTAGCCCAGGGCCAGTCTTCCTCAGCAAAAAAAAAGTGGAGGATTGGCATTGGATGTTAGCTCAGGGCTGGTCCTCCTCACAAAAAATAAAAAAAAAAAAAAAGATCACAATGGAGAGCAGATAAAAAAGAAATACTGCTGACCTAGAACGCCAGTGGTCTGATTTCTTTGAGGTTACTAACCTCTTTGAGATTCTGCCAAAAGCTATGGATCCTCTCCCCACAGAAAAGCTGTGCCTGAAGACCGAATCTTACACACAAGCTCAGGAGTGCACAGGACCTCCTCCCTGAAATCTACAAACCCCAAGAGTAAGAATCACCGTTCAGGAGGGATAAAATAATTTGACAATCACTTCACCCAGTTTAATGAAGCTTCAGTACCATCTATGAGGAAGGACTAGCCAAACCACACCTCCCAGATATTCCGGTATATTAAAGACCAAACGTAACACTTAACAACAAAACATTGTACTATTCCTATTTTACACCGTTTACATAGAGCTTGAGCTCCTTAAAACCTTTTAATTGGTAGAAAGATCAGTTTTATAATTCTTTGTTCTTTTTCTGATTTCCTAGACACACACCCCCACACCATTGAGAAGACAATCCAGGTTTAACAGATCACCAGATGTCCATCTTGAGTTGTAGCCCTCAAGTGTATACAGAATCATCTTCTTCCAAATAAAAATAAAAAAATACAGTGACTTTTCTCCCAACTGAGAGTTTTAAGGTATGCAAAATACTAACATACACTCACTTCTGGATATCTACTCCACCCTACCTCAACATAAGTATTCTCTCAGAGTAAACGAGATTTCTAAGTCATTCCTCTAAAGATAATGAGAAAGTGAAGTACATAATACAGGGATAGGAAACAGAAGAGAGAGTAAACCAGAAAAGAATTAAGGGTTTTCTGCTTTTTAGCTCTGGAGAGAAAACAGAAGCTAAGATAAAATAAACCCAAGCTTCAAAAGTGTGTAAGATAAGGAAATAAAGACTGCATGGGGTGAACCAACAGCACAAGGCAGAGGGCTCTACTACGTCGTGCCGCACACGAGCACGAAGCACTATGAGCAGGAAACAAGCAAACAAGACTACATGGAAATTTTAATAAAAAATTTAATAAGACTAAAAACAGTATCTATTAGGGGCCGGCCCCATGGCTTAGCAGTTAAGTGCTCGCGCTCGGCTGCTGGCTGCCCGGGTTCGGATCCGGGCGTGCACCGACGCACTGCTTCTCCAGCCATGCTGAGGCGGAGACCCACATACAGCAACTAGAAGGATGTGCAACTATGACATACAACTATCTACTGGGGCTTTGGGGGGAAAAATAAATAAAGTTTTTAAAAAAAAAAACAGTACCTATTATACATGCCATATCTCATTAATCATCCTAACTTACATTTTTTTTCATATTTTAACATTTATGAAATAGGAATGCATCTTACAATTTATGGTGTCTTATAATAATATTTTTCTTTTTTTTTTTAAAGATTTTATTTATTTATTTTTTTCCCCCCAAAGCCCTAGTAGACAGTTATATGTCATAGCTGCACATCCTTCTAGTTGCTGTATGTGGGACGTGGCCTCAGCATGGCCAGAGAAGGGGTGTGTCAGTGCGCGCCCGGGATCCGAACCCGGGCCGCCAGCAGCGGAGCGCGCGCACTTAACCGCTAAGCCATGGGGCCGGCCCAATAATTTTTTTCTTATTAGTCCATAAAATGAAGGTGCTTCTTACAATCAGCAATATATATATTCAATCAACATGACTGTATACATTTTATATAAAATATTCTCTTTACTTAATGTAGGTCATTAATATCTTATTTTGGCAAAATAAAAAATAAACAGAAACAAGGCATACATATACATTATAGCAAATTATTTAATGTTGTCCTAGGGATGCTATCCATCACAATTATACAGGAGGGGAAAACAGAGGTATAAAAATCTGAAAGGGAGAAGTGATGTGAAATAATGAGCCATTTCTACAGGAGACCACTGCCAAAAAGTGACTGGGTGCACGCACGAGTGGGGACTGGGGGAAACCAGGATTCAACAACATCACAGATGTAGAGATCATTTTGTAAGGAAAAGCAAGATACTGGTAAGCTCAGATAGTTTCTAGGTGTCTAGAAAGTAGAATAGAGTAGAGTGGGAGGAAGGCCAGCAATGCAAGGACCAGTGGAGATGAAAGGCTAAGCAATTTGGAAATGGTCAGAGCAGGGGGAAAAAACAACAAGGGCTGGCATTTTGGGGAGGTGACAGGAGTATGGTACAAGCAAGCTGTCCTCAAAGCTTCAGGACACTACAGGGAAGGGCCCTATAGAATACTTATGAAAATTTATTCTATTGGCCCAGAAGAGCAAACTCTGTCTGGTAACTGGCAGAAGAACATAATGAAAATAGCCTAACAACTACAGTGACAGGCATTAGCCTCAATATATTATTATAAATTGCATATATAAAATACATATTGTATTACATATATATATATGCCACTTTAAATTGCAAAAAACCCTGATTTAGGCATTATTACCCTAATTTGACAGGAAAGGAAACTGAAGCTGCAAGACGTTGAGTACTTGCCCAAGACAATTAGTCTCCACGAGTCTTTAACTCTTGATAGAACCAACATCAGCCACCAGCAGGTTAGCTATCTCAGGCTGCATCCAATGGAACCGGGGACTCTGTCCCTCAGGCTGACAAACACCAGGCTCTTTGCTTTAGAGGCTCAGTTTTCATCTTACAGATGAGAAAATTGAAGCACAAAGAGGTTATATGATTCGTCTACTGGGTAATACAATAAATCAGTTACAGAGCTGAGGCTAGGATCAAGTTCCCTCTCTCCAATCCTTACCACCATGTATCCACTAGTCAAAAAAAGTATCCAAAAACCACAAAATAGAATACTCTAAGTGTTGCCTCCATTATTAATACATGATTTCTGTTACTAAAACATTATTCTTTTTCTTTTAGGTGATCTTATCCAAAATGCTTTAACAAAATGCACTACTAGGGGAATTTTAGTTGCTTATTCTTTAGCAATTTATGATTCAGTTTTCCTGAGCTGAGATGAGCAAACTGGTTGCAAAGAAAAAAAAAAAGCATTGACAAAGGGCATACACTTCTTTTAAAAGAAAACGTAAGATTTATATTTTTAATTATTTTTAACTACAATAAGACTTAAGTTATGGGTAATGAACTAGCTACCTTAACTTCTACCATCTAGTTCCGGGGAATCAAGCCAGACCCTAAGGACTACACATCATTCCGAAAAACTTAAATTTTCCACAACCTATTTTCACTGCTCCAATAGAAGGGATACCGGTAAGGCTATCAAATAGACTATTAAAAATTCAAAGATCTTACCAATTTTGAAAATTCTTTAGCTCTACAGAAGTCATGTCATTCTTTGTCAATATTTTTTTTCTCTTTTCTCTCACACTTCAAGTATGAAAAGGGGAGGAAGAGGACTCAACTACTTAAGTCAAAGTTTCTATTAAGTTTGTTTTTAAAATATTTTTAAATAAATATTTATTTACTTGATAAACTATAATTGATCTCAAAGTTAGATTTTTTTAAAAAGTCAAGCATCCAGTGAGTAGAAAATGTATTGATATTCCTGACAAAGAAATGAATGTTGGAACATATTAAATACAAAGTCAAGATTCATTTTTACTTTAAAAAATATATACTAAAATAATGAGAAATAAGTGAAATGTGTACTTCATAGTTAATAATAAATGCCATTTAGGTAAAACATATTTTAAAATTAATGTTATTTACTGTTCTTATTAAATCAATCTGTCCTCATTTTATACATTTTATGTTCCTAGAAAGATGAATTTTATACTGTACTTTTTGACTGAACCATCTTCATCCAAAATCACCACCATTATAATGGCAAAGGAAGGCTTCAGATGGAAATAGTATAATAAATCACACTTAAGAATCCCAAAACCTCTACTAAGAGAGTACTTTGTCCTCGTCAATCTGCAATCTATGTGTTTTTGGTTTCTCCACATAATCCAGTACATAGAACAGCACCTTCCCAAAGCCTCACACACCACTTGAGATTCAATTTCAAAAAATACTATTTGACCTGATACACTGAAAAGCATCCACGGGCTAACATACTGTCATCACAATCTAACACAGCAAAGCATTTCTATTTCTGAAACTTTCTAAGTAGAAAACATTTCACCCAATCCTAACTAAAACCAATAAAACCTATTCTAAAAGAGTTCTAAGTTTTTAATGTTTTACAGAGATTGAAGAGAATTGGGATTGTCAATTTAAAGTTTAACTGGCATTTATTTATTGGATTTGTGGAATTTAATTAAGTAAAACATACAAAAAATAAATGAAAAAT